CATGAATTTCGAGAAACCTCGTGAGCCAGAGCCATAGTTTGGAAAATCAGGGAAATTGTTGGAAATGTTGGTAAAACCAACAATTTCCATGATTGGCTCACGGAAAATGTTGGTAAAACCAACAATTTCCATGATTTGTCCGTGGGAAATCATGGAAAATGCTGGTAACAGCAACAATTTCCATGAATTTCGAGAAACCTCTTGAGCCAGAGCCATAGTTTGGAAATGTCGACCCCTCCGCTACCCAGGTTTTGGTTTTCATGCTCCTGAGGGAAAGGAGCAGACCTAGGTACCGGGGGGGGGTACCATATATATATATATATAGAGAGAGCAATATGGTACCATAGTAGTACTCTGGTAATATGGCATACAAAGGCAAACAGCTGGCATGAAAGCCCCCGTTGCTGCAGTTCTTTTGCCTTGGCCTCCGGGCTTCTGGGGCCATGAGGTAGCTGTATCTTTTCCGTCCACTTGACTGATTCTTTGCGTTTTCTGTCACCACCAGAGGAGCACGCACCTCCCAAACAGCAGGCCTGGAATAACTCTTTACTGCACGACCGGATTTCCCCAGCATCGGGGTTGCAGGCTTGTAGTCTGCCTAGAAGTCGATGGACAAATCAGGCCGAAGGATTGTGTTGTTGATCTAACCCCGTTGATGGAGCAAACGTAAGCCAGTGTTCTTTTCGCTCAGCATACCTACGTGTTCTGGTATACGGCACTCACTTTTTCTGCATTTTGATATGCTTTCCTGTCCCATATAAAAACACTGTACTGTTTACTGTTTTCAGATTTCTACGAACCATGTACCATCTACTATATGCTGCACTGCACGATGATGTTGTGGCTGAGTTGCATTGTGGAATGTTTGCTGCCAGGCCCTTCACTTTCTCATTCTCGCCAAGGCGGATGTGTCGGGCTGGTCGGGGTGGCTCGGCACAAACTGGAAACAAGAGGCAATGTGATCAAAGCTCAGCAGCATTGAACCAAAATGACGGCATCGCAGATGGCAACTACACTGCCTATTTCGTTGAGTTTGAGCAAGAGCGAATGAGCACTTGATTTAGTTTCCTTCTGAAGGGACTCCCATGAGGGCGGTCGTGAATCGTCACTCTGCTTGGATCCGGGGCAACGGTTCTTTTCTCGCTGGCAAGCTTGACCGAAGATGCCCAGGTCTTCTGATCCTAGCCCAGAGACTTAGGCCCTAGCCAAAAAGCACCAAAGACCCCGGAGCCCTGAGCCATTGATACCAGAAGAAAAAACCCTAATCCCTAAACCCTGAACCCTAATCATTAAACCCTAAACCCCAATCCCGAATCCCGAAACAGGCAGGTGGCCCTTCTGGCTGCGGCGGACTCCAATCGCTTCGCACTGCTTCGCGTCCTCGAGGATGCCGGCGTTGACCTCACCTCTGCCGCTGGGCCTCGGGAGCCGGGGCTTCAGGGAGTTTCGGAGTCGTGGTGACGGAGCTTTGGTTCCAGGGAGTTTCGGACTCGCTTTGGGTGTTTTGGACTTCAGGGAGTTTCGGAGTTGTGGTGACGGGCGGTAATTTTGATTGCAAGCACTCTTAGATAAAGCTTTGGGGTTCCAGGGAGTTTCGGACTGTCTTTGGGTGTCTAGACTTTGAGGACGGCTTTGCGCCAGTCTCGGGTTTACGTGTTTGGGGCGTGGGGAATCGGAACTTCGGGAAGGAGCGGACAGTGGAACGACACTTGGTAGGACCTTTTGGCTCACAGCCCTGACTTGAGCTGAGCGGTGTATTAGCAGTGAGTCAAAGGAATAATAGGACACTGGAGGATGCTCCCGGCACGGTTGAGCATGTAGTCAGGAAGCTGTTTATTATGTAGCACAAGCATGAGACAGCAGAGAGGCCCGTCGGGCGCAACGGGACTTCTCGGACAGTATACCTCTCGACCTTCCAAGGCTTGAAGTGGCAAAGGCACTGCCATGTGTTTGTCACGCTGGAGTGTTTCTGGCTGATAACGGGAGGGTGTGCCAGATCCGTGCTAGGGGTCCAGCAGACAGCCGGCTTGTGTGGTTCTCGCAACTCAGGAACGCTCTACAATCACGTTGGCACAGGTCGGGCATGTCAGCCTAGTGTCTTCTGAAAGCCTGCCTGAGTCATGACAGTTCCACGCAAGATCGCATTCCCAGCTTCACATCAACGGTGCTCACAGAATCTTGTCAATTGTTAATTGGTGTCACCAAAGCCAGTGTCTCTTGGGCGTCTCGGCACTGGTACGGCCCTCCGCCATAATGATGATCCTCTTTAGTGCCCTGAAGTGTGTCGGTAAGCCAGCAAGACTCCCACTAGTGCAGGCTTCCAACTGCCATCGGGATCGTTTGGAACGGCACTTGGAGGAATTCACTGCGCGGAGCAGCTTTGCTTGCAGCTGGACGATCGGGTAAAGTCTTAGCGGCCCGATGCCTAACCACAGCTTTGTTCGGACATTGGAGTGCCGACGCAGTACTCGTTATGCTCCTTGCAGGTCGGAATGTTGAATTGGAAGCCTAAGCCCCAATGGCGCGGAGGCCTTGCCAAGCACATGGACATGGTGTCACATGCCTTGGACGTACACGCTCACCGCGTGGAGGCTCGATGCTCAACATGTTCAGCTGATTCCTGGCTTCAGAGTTTTGCGGGGGTGACATAACTACGTAGTTGTAGAATCGATGCAGTTGCCGGCGAGCTGCCAACCACCCAACTCTCTTCCGGTCCCTAAAGGGTTGTGATATTCATGGACAAACAGCGCGACAATTGCATCGAGCAGGCGGAGACGTTGGCAAAGAACTCGGATGCCGTGGCGGCAGTTCTTTGCCTGCAGGGGGAAGTAGGAGCAACCTTCGTGCAGGCAGGCGCCGTCTTATCGCTCGAGAGACTCACACCGTCTGTAGACAGTGCCATCCAGACTAGCCTTTTGGGGCAGTTGCAAGCTGTTCAAAATGCCATGCGCCGCAGTCGCATGCTCTTCTTGCCGTGGAGGAAGCTTGTTGAAGCCTTTGTCGCACAAACCCCCGAGCTCCCAAAGATAGCCGACATGTCCACCGCCCGCCATCATCGTCCGAATAAAGCGCTCGAGCTTCTGGCGTGAAGCTTTTTTCCAAAGGCACTGGCGCTGCACCTTCACATGCAGGGCGATGTCGACAAGGCAGTTGGGGCAGCGAAGGAGGGCAGGTCCGCATTCAGAAAAAATGATTATTATCACCCTAAACCCTAAGCTAACTCCGAGAGTGCTCTCTGAAACCTGATTGTATAGACGTGGAATGTATCGTGTTCCGGACCAGCATGAACCCTAAGCCCCTAAGCCCTGAAGGAGAGTATCGCACAGCATTCTCTTGTTCTTACAACTACCATGACTACTGAAGTCCTTACTCTCAGCGCCACCATCTTATTATTCCCATCGCTATAGTCCCATCGCTAATTCCAAAACGGCGACGACGACAACAGCCGCTACTCTTGCTTGTTTACCTGTTTACCTGCCTACCTAATCTCCACCGCCAGGGCTTTCACCATGAGCACCACAAAAACTGCGCTTATAGTCGTATTACTGTTGTTGCTAAGTTGTCGGCTCGGCAGTTATATAGAAGACTTGCCGTTGTCGAAGTTGAGGCTAGCCTGATCCAACCGAAGATGAGGCGCAAGCCAATGCCGACACGCCTGTGGTGGCGGAGGCCCTGTCCCGGCATGTCCGCCTTCTGGAGGAGCAACCTGTCTTGAAGAGGAAGAGGGCTAAGCTAAACGGGGATTCAAGAGGCACGGTACGAATCTATGCCTTGCGGGGCGTCCCTGCCGCTGTATCTGTCGGCTACATCGCAATCCCAAACAGTTACCCCTGAACATGCCTGAACCCCCACACCTACATATGGGAGCTCATATGCTAGAAGCTCAGCAGGCAAAGCTTCCAAGTCGCTTTCGCCCTCGCGGGCCACCTCCTGGAGCAGCCGTTGCAGGGCCCGGCCGAAGACATAGATCCTCAGAGCTGTTGCAGTGGTTTTCTTTTGTCCACTGTGTTGTTCTTCTTCTGACGGTAGTGACCTCAAGCCTCAACTTGGTGACTGTGGTCATGCTGCTGCTACTACCTACGACGTACACTTAGTTACTGCTACTGACTACTTATGCTACTTGTACCACCAACATTACTCATTTTGCACTATGCGTACTATTTACGACGATGGCGACTACTACTACTACTACTACTA